GTACTATGGAAACGTGCAGGACTCTGTAAGGATCCTATGGGTTCCCTCTGAGGTTCCTATGGAATCGTGCAAGACCCTGTAAGGATCCTATAGGTTCCTCCTTATAGAATTCCAATGGAATCGTGCAGGGCCCTGTGAAGGATCCTATCGGACCCCTATAGGATTCCTATGGAATCGTGCAGGAGCCTGTACGGATCCTATAGGATCCCTGGAGGACTCGTACGGAACCGTGCAGGACCCTGTAAGGATCCTATAGGATCCCTGAAGGTTTCCTATAGAATCGTGCAGGACCCTGTAAGGATCCTATCGGATCCCTATAGAGTCCCGATGGAATCCTGCAGGGCCCTGTGAGGATTCTATATGATCCCTATAGGTTTCCGGTGAATCCTGTAGGCCCCTGTTTGGATCCTATAGGATCCCTCTGGGGTTCCTATGGAATCGTGCACGACTCTGTAAGGATCCTATGGGATCCCTGTAGGGTTCCTATGGAATCGTGCAGGACCCTGTAAGGATCCTATAGGTTCCTCCTTATAGGACTCCGATGGAATCGTGCAGGACCCTGTAAAGATCCTATAGGTTCCTCCTTATAGGACTCCGACGGAATCGTGCAGGACCCTGTACGGATCCTATAGGTTCCTCCTAATAAGACTCCTATGAGATCGTGCAGGACCCTGTAAGGATCCTATAAGATCCCTATAGGCTTCCTATGGAATCGCTTCCTATGGAATCGTGCAGGGCCCTGTAAGGATCCTATACGATCCCTATAGGGTTCCGATGGAAACCTGTTGGACCCTGTAAGGATCCTACAGGATCCCTATAAGTTTCCCATGGAACCGTGCAGGACCCTGTAAGGATCCTATAGGATCCCTCCAGGGTTCCGATGGAATCGCGCAGGACCATGTAAGGATCCTATGGGATCCCTCTAGGGTTCCTATGGATCGTGCAGGACCGCAGGACCCTGTAAGGATCCTGTAGGTTCCTCCTTGTAGGACTCCGATGGAATCGTGCAGGACCCTGTAAAGACCATATAGGATCCCCATAGGATTCCTATGGAACCGTGCAGGACCCTGTAAGGATCCTATAGGCTCCCTCTAGGGTTCCCATGGAATCGCGCAGGACCCTGCAGAGCGGTGTGCCAACACGATCCTCGACAGGGGCGTACCAAAATGAAGCCTCGGAGGAGCTCCCTGCGGAGCCAGGGCCACGATCCTCGAGAGGGGTGCGCCGAAATAAAACCTCGGTGGAGCTCCCTGCGGGGCCAGGGCCACGATCCGTGAGAGGGGCGCGCCGAAACCAAGCTTCGGTGGAGCTCCCTGCGGGGCCAAGGCCACGAGCCGTGAGAGGAATGCGCCGAAGACGAGCATCGGTGGAGCTCCCTGCGGGGCCAGGGACGCGATCCTTGAGAGGGGTGCGCCGAAATCAAGCCTCGGTGGAGCTCCCTATTGGGCCAGGGCCACGATCCGTGAGAGGGGTGCGCCGAAATCAAACTTCGGTGGAGCTCCCTGCGGGGCCAGGGCCACGATCCTCGAAAGGGGCGCGCCGACATGGAGCCTCGGTGGGGCCCCCTGTGGGGCCAGGAACACGATCCGTGAGAGGGGTGCGCCGAAACCAAGCTTCGGTGGAGCTCCCTGAGCCACGATGCTCGAGAGGGGCGCGCCCAAATCAAACCTCGGTGGAACTCCCTGTGGGGCCAGGGCCACGAGCCGTGAGAGGGACGCGCCCTTTGGGGCCTGCATGGGGCCCCGCAGCAGCCCCGAAAGGACCTGCCGAGCAACGCCGCCGGGCCCTGCAGACCCCCGCAGCGGCCTGGCGATGCCTCGTGGCATTGCTCGGACCAGGGGCCCTGCAGGGCCCGAGCGCGGCCCCGCGGCGTTGCTCGGGGGGGGGGGGGGGGGGGGGGGGGGGGGGGGGGGTCGAGCAACGGGCCTCCAGTAGTGCCCTCGCGAACAACAACAACAACAACAACAACAACAACAACAACAACAACAACAACAACAATAAATTTAAAACTGTTCGATCTTATCTGCCCGCGCGCCGTTCCACGCGCGCTCCCCAAACCCTCGATGCCCGCCCTCTTTGTTTTCGATCGTGTCCCTCTTGAGAGGTTGATACTTCTTCCTTGCAGGCCGGGCCCCGGCAAGCGGCGGGGCGGCCGCGGACCGCCGGCCTGGCCAGCGGCAGCGCTGATCAGCGGCAACCCGACCCCGCGAAGGACGGACAGGGGACCTACCACGACGACGACGACGACGACGGCGACGACAACGACGACGAGCGAAAGCGAGAGCGACAGCGACAGCAGGGACACGAACGAACGGCAGGGCGCATGCATGCATGCACAAGTCATACGCCAGAGGCGCGTGGACGCTGACAGTACTGCACAACGCTGCGCTTCCACATGCGCCGATCATGCACAAGGTCAGAACTCAGATTGGCACGAAATGACTCTCTCTGCACCATGGTCGCCCACTCGTTGCGCGGACGCCCACGACGCCTGACATGCCGCTGCGAAGCCGGAACTGCGGTGATCGGGGCGAACGTATGGGAGCGAAGAACATCTGCGGCAGGTGATCGGGCGACCTTCCCGTCGAGCAGCAATTGTTCCTGCAGCAAGCGCCTGTCCAAGGGTTGGCAGCTGGCCCTTTGAAGCACTGTTGCGTTGGATATACGGGACACATAAGACGAAGGAATGCGAAATATTGATCTCAAGCATCGGCAATAGAAAGCATTCAGTCTCCTGGTCTCGGCCGCGTTCAGCCATGCAGATTGCAAGCCGTACATGAGCTTCGAAAGAATGACGGTGTCGAAGATGCCTATTTTCCTGGACAGCGAGAAAGACGCGTGGCCCCACAACCTTTGCAACGCCGTGAAATCTCCCCACCCTTGTCCCAGCTTGCGAGATAACTCCGGCATGATCTGTCCGTCCGCGTAGATCCCCACGCCCAAATAGGTCATGCTGTCCTTCATCGGAATAGCGTCCCCGGTAGGCGTCCGGAGAACATATTTTCTCTTTACTCCGATCAGCTGAAACTTTGACCAATGAAGCGCCATGCCGTACAAGCCACCGACATGCGCGACAGAGTCTAGCATTTCTTGTAGTCGGGCTTGGCTTCGGCCTGCCAAGAGGGCGTCGTCTGCGTATAGGATGCACTCCATGCGCCCAGCCTCGAGGTCCGCCGGGGCCTCCGGCGAGAGTCTGGCCGAAGCATCGTGGACGATCACTGTCATGAGCATCGCGAACAAGAATGGGGACAACGGGCATCCTTGAGAAATTCCTAATTTTGGCTCTCTGCTATCCGACTCTGCGTCGCCGTCGATGACGCAGAAACGGCGCTCCGAATATGTGCGCTGCACCATTCGGACATACTTTTCTGGTAATCCGAACCGGCGGATGGCCACCATGAGCGCGTCCACGTTGATAGAGTCGAACGCCTTCTGCCAGTCTAAAGCCACCGTGCCGACTTGCCCGCCCTTCCAAGCCAATTCCATATCAATGCGCCGGCGCACCATGAAAATAGCGTCGCCGGTGCTCCGGCCAGCGCGGAAGCCGAACTGTGCGTTCGTCAGCCGTCGCTCCGCCCCTGCCCGCTGCAGTCTTTTCAAAAGAATGGAAGCGAATAGCTTATAGGTCACGCAGATGAGACTGACTGGCCGGTAGTTGTGGCAGAGCGTGACGTCCCCGTTCCTGTGAAGGGCCATCACGTTTGCGTAGTGCCAGTCCTCGGGGATACTCTCTTTCAGCCAACATTCGTTGCGCATGCGCGTGAGCCAGGTGAGCCCTTCTGGCTTGCTCGCAACTGCGTGCCAGTACTCGCCGTGCACGCCATCTGGCCCACATGCTCTCTTCTTCTTCAAGCCGCTGAGAGCGTCGCCCACTTCTGTTTCCGTGATGTCCCCGAGGTCTGCCGGCAATTCGCGTCCCAATGGCTCGCCGTCGGTCGCTGCTGCTGGTCTGACGTGCCACTGGACTCGCTCTAAATATTCGGCCATGGTGTCAGCCCACATGTCGCTGTCAACCAATGCGCCGTTCTTGTCGTTCAACTTGCCGTTTTCTCGGTATCCGAGGATTCCGGTAAGCCCGGATGCTCTGCCAGCCCCCTGTTGCGAGTTGTTTGTCCAACCAATCGGTTTGTCTCTCTTGGCCATGTTCCGAACCGTTTTGTGCAGCTCGCGCTCCAAAGCTGCGCCCCCGGCTTCTCTCGCAGCACGTTCGCGGTCCAACACGACCAGCGTCTCCTCAGATATCCACGGCCTGTTCGCTTTCCGGACAGGCGCCGGAAGCGTGGCCTTAGCAGCTGCCATCGCCCGGCCTGTGACTCCCCAAGCTCCTGGAACGGTGCCCTGGTCGTCCTCGACGGCCACGCTGTCGCAGAACGCTGCGGCAAACGTTCGTTGGATATCCTTTTGCTCCAAGGCAGCCGCGCCCTGCCTGCGCGAATGGGCAAGTCTGCTGCTATCAAGCCCGGGCATCTCCACCACGGCTCGCACTAGAAAATGGTCCGTTGCAAAGGCTGCTCTGTGGATAGATCTCAAGCCCCGGATGCGACTGAAGAGCCCCCAATCACACAACAATAGATCTAACATGCTGAGGCCTTGCTCTGTCACAGGATCTACTGGCGTGAACCCCGGCCCCATGAAGGCGGCCTTGCTCTCCGGCTCCCCAGGGACGAAAGTGTTCGCCCCCGCCAGGGAGTTTCCCAAGCAGAGCTCCACCAACATATCTCTGTTCGGAATGCCCACTTCGCGGCTGGCACGGGCGCCGAAAACGCGCTCACCAACAATGTGCTCTTCGCCAGGCTCGCTGCGCCCATGTCTCGAATTTAGGTCACCGAAAATGAATGTCCCTTGGCTTGCCGAGCACCGCCGGCACGCAGCATCCAGAGCAAGGAAAAACTGCAGCCACTCGTCAAGATCTCGGCCATTATGTGGAGCATAAGCGCACACGATGCCCGTGCCCCCCCCCCCTGGACCCGCAACTTCACGCAGCAAATCCGGTCAGACACCTGATGTTATTCATGGCCTCCTTGATCATGCCCTCCACCTCCTTCCCTGTGACGTATTTGCCTGTTCCTCGCATGACCTCCTGGATATTCTCCTTGGTCACCACTTGTTCCTTGAGCTTTTCCACCTCCCCCTCAACCGAACTGGCCGCGATCTTGGCCTCGAACGCTGCCTGCTTGGCCGCTGTCGCCTGCTCCTTTGCCTCCTTCTCATTCGCATTATTCTCCCTCATGTTCTTAACGTACCTCATGTCCTTCATCATGATCCTCATCATCTCCCTCATGTCGTCGCTGCCGCTCCCCTTGGACTCTCCCTTGTACCGGCCCTTGGACTCGCCCACCATCTGAATGTCGGCATCGTCGTCATCCAACGAGTCCAGAGGCGACCCGATCCTGCCTTGCTTTGCCACTCCACCGTCGGGCGAATGGATTTCGAATCGCTTGGCCATCGAGCCGCTGAAAGGTGCGACAGGAGTGATGCGCGGAATGGCGATGTTGGCTCCCGGCCCAAACGAGCACCTTGAGCCACAAAGGGGGCCACAAAGGGCGACAGCGGGGCCGCGAAGGGCATGCGCATGGGGCCACGAAGGGCGCGAACGAGCGGGGGCCACGAAGATCATGCGGGGCCACATGAGGACAACGACGGGGCCACTGAGGGTAGCGACGGGGCCACTGAGGGCAGCGAGGGGGCCGCAAAAGGCAGCGACGGGGCTACTGAGGGCAGCAGCGGGGCCACGAAGGGCAGCAAAGGGGCCGCGAAGGGCTACGCTGGGGCCAGGAAGGGCAGCAACGGGGTCACTGAGAGCACAAGCGACGGGAGGCTACGAAGGGCACATATGGGGCCACAAAGGGCAGCGCCTGGGCCACTGAAGGCAGCAGCGGGGCCACAGTGGGCGGCGGGGGGAGGGGGGGGCACACGGAGCAACGCTGGGGCCACGAAGGGCAGCAATGGGACCACAGAGGGCACACGCGACTGGGGCCACGAAGGGCGCATATACATATATATATATATATATATATATGGGCCACAAAAGGCAGCGAGGGGGCCGCAATGGGCAGCGGGGGGAGGGGCCACACTGGGCTACACTGTGGCCACGAAGGGCAGCAATGGGGCCACTGAGGGCACGAGCGACTGGGGGCCACGAAGGGTGTACATATGGGCCAAGGCAGCGAGGGGGCCGGGCCACTGAGGGCAGCAGCGGGGCCACGAAGGGCAGCAATGGGGCCAATGAGGGCACGAGCTAGAGGGGGCCACGAAGGGCGTATACATGGGCCACCAAGGGAAGCAAGGGGGCCACAATGGGCAGCGATGGGGGGCCACTGAGGGCAGCAGCGGGGCCACGAAGGGCAGCAATGGGCCACTGACGGCATTGGCGAGGCCACACAGGGCAGCAAGGGGGCCACGAAGGCTTACGCTGGGGCCACGAAGGCAGCAACGGGGCTACTGAGGGCACGAGCGACGGGGGGCCACGAAGGGCAGCGTCTGGGCCACTGAGGGCCGTAGCGGGGCCACATGGGGCAGCTGGGCGGGGGGCACAAGGGGCTACGCTGGGGCCACGAAGAGAAGGGATGGGACCACTGAGGGCACGAGCGACTGGGGGCCACGAAAGGCGAACACATGGGCCACACAGGGCAACGAGGGGGCCACATTGGGCAGCGGGGGGGGCACACGGGGCTACACTGGGGCCACGAAGGGCAGCAACGGGGCCACTGAGGGCACGAGCGACTGGGAGCCACGAAGGGCGTATGTATGGGCCACAAAAGGCAGCGAGGGGACCACAATGGGCAGCAGCGGGGCCACGAAGGGCAGCAATGGGGCCACAGAGGGCACAAGCGACTTGGGGCTACGACGGGCGTATAGATGGGCCACACAAGGCCTACGCCGGGGCCACGAAGGTCTGCAATGGGACCACTGAGGGCACGAGCGACTGGGGGCCACGAAGGGCGTATACATGGGCCACCAAGGGCAGCGAGGGGGCCAAATTGGGCAGCAGGGGGGGGAGGCCCCGTGGGGCTACACTGGGGCCACGAAGGGCAGCAATGGGGCCACTGAGGGCACAAGCGACTTGGGGCCACGAAGGGCGTGTATATATACCTATACGACCACCCTTCGGGTGATAAGGAGGTTCGGGGGGGGGAACCAACGTCTCACTCGATCGGTCTCACTAGCGATCTCACTATCGATCTCAGTTTCGGTCTCGCTCGATCGATCTCCCTCGATCGATCTCACAATCGATCTCACTCGATCTATCTCACAATTGATTTGACTACCGATCTCACAATCGATCTCACAATCGATCTCACAATCGATATCACATTCGGTCTCACTATCGATCTCACTATCGACATCACAACTGCTCTCACAATCAACGTCATCATCATCATCATCATCAACAACAACATCAACATCATCATCACCAACATCATCATAATCGGGACACCGTCCTCATCATCAACACCAACATCAACATCATCACGGTCATCAACATCATCGGGACACCACCACCACCATCATCATCATCATCATCATCATCATCATCACCATCATCACAATCATCATCATCAACATTATCACCATCATCAGCAGCATCGGGACACAGTCATCGTCATCATCATCATCAGCATCATCATCGGGACACCATCATGATCACCATCGTTAGCAACATCATCATCATCGGAACACCCTCATCATCATCATCTCATCCTCATCATCGACATCATCATCATCATCAGCATCATCAACATCATCATCACCATCATCATCATCATCATCATCGTCGTCATCATCGGGGCACCATCATCATCATTAACAACATCAGCATCAACATCATCATCATCACCATCGGGACGCCATCATCATCAACATCATCACAATCACCATCAGAATAATCACCATCGGGACGCCATAATCATCATCAACCTCATCAGCATCAACATCATCAGCATCGGGACACAATCAGAATCAGCATCATCAACATCAACATCATCATACTCATCACCATCGGGACACCATCATGGTCATCATCATGATCAGCAACATAATCATCATGATCATCATCATCCTCATCATCGGGACACCATCAGCATAATCATCATCGTCATCATCATCATCATCATCATCGACATCATCATCATCATCATCATCATCATCGGGACACCATCATCATCATTTCATCATCACCATCATCATCGTCCTCATCATCATCATCAGCAGCATCACCATCATCATCATCGACGACATCATCATCAGCAGCAGCATCATCATCAGCACCACCATCATCATCATCATCCTCATCTCATCATCATCATCGTCATCATCATCATCATCATCATCATCATCATCATCATCATCATCATCGCGGGACACCGCGGGACACCGGCGGGACACCGCGGGGCACCGCGGGACACCGCGGGACTTTCGCGGGACACCGGCGGGACACCGCGGGCCACCGGCCGCCCGGAAGGGAGTCATTTGGTCCGGCCGCGCCTCAGCCACACGGGACTTTCGCGGGACACCGGCGGGGCACCGCGGGCCACCGGCCGCCCGGAAGGGAGTCATTTGGTCCGGCCGCGCCTCAGCCACAGGAGACTTTCTCTCGCCCGCCCACGCAGCTTCGCCTCGCCCGCACGCACGGCGCGCACGAAAACGAAACCGAAATCGATTTCCCGGTAGGGGGGCTCTCCGTTCCACTTCGATCTCGCCCCCTCACCTCCGATATATATATATATATATATATATGTATAGATGTATAGATGTGTATATGTATATATATATATATATATATATATATACATACAGGGGGGTGGCCGGGTTGGTTCCCCATTCGGCCTGAAGACGAAGACGCTATTTGAAGACTCTATTGGCCAAGTAGGTTGGCTTGACGCCTCTATTCGCCTGACGCCCGATGACGCCTGTGACGCCTCTATTCCGCCTGACGCCTCTATTGGCCTGACGTCCGATGACGCCTCTGACGCCTCTATTCCGTCTGACGCCTCAATTCGCCCGGCGCCCTACTTGCCCTGTCGCCCCTATGGGCCAAACGACCGCTGACACCCGTGACGCCTTTATTCGGTCTGACGCCTCTATTCGCCTGACGCCCGCTGACGCTCCTGACGCCTCTATTCTGTCTGACGCCTCTATTCGCCTGACGACCGATGACGCCCGTGACGCCTCTATTCCTCTGACGCCTCTATTCGCCTGACGCCCGATGACGCCCGTGACGCCTCTATTCTGCCTGACGCCTCTATTGGCCTGACGCCCGATGACGCCTCTGACGCTTCTATTCGGGCCGACGCCTCGACTGGCCTGACGCGGCCCAGTTTCCCTCAGGTTGACAATGCGGGCCCAATTCCACACCAGGGACTGTCCCCCGCGGACGGGGCCGTCGGGGAGCCCCCCAACGGACCCTGTCCGCGGCGGGGTGTCTCTCGTGGCGAATCTGGCCCCGATTCCCCACAGGAGACCATCCGCCGCTGACGGGGCCCTCGGGGAGCCCTCCAACAGGCCCTGTCCGCGGCGGGGTGTCTCCCGTGGAGAATCTGGCCCCGATTCCCCACGGGAGAGCATCCGCCGTGGACGGGGGCCTCGGGGCTCTCCAGGAACCACCCCGAATGCTCTGTCCGCGGCGGGGGGTCTCCCGTGGAGAATCTGGCTCATATTCCCCACGGGAGAGCATCCGCCGTGGACGGGAACCTCGGGGCCCTCCGGGAACCACCTCGAATGCTCTGTCCGTGGCGGGGGGTCTCCCGTGGAGAATCTGGCCCCGATTCCCCACGGGAGACCATCCGTCGCGGACGGAGGCTTCGGGGCCGTCGGATGGCCACCCCAAATGCTCTGTCCGCCGCGGACGGGGCCGTCGGGGAGCCCCCCCAACGGACCCTGTCCGCGGCGGGGTGTCTCTCGTGGCGAATCTGGCCCCGATTCCCCACAGGAGACCATCCGCCGCTGACGGGGCCCTCGGGGAGCCCTCCAACGGGCCTTGTCCGCGGCGGGGCGTCTCCCGTGGAGAATCTGGCCCCGATTCCCCACGGGAGAGCATCCGCCGTGGACGGGGGCCTCGGGGCTCTCCAGGAACCACCCCGAATGCTCTGTCCGCGGCGGGGGGTCTCCCGTGGAGACTCTGGCTCATATTCCCCACGGGAGAGCATCCGCCGTGGACGGGAGCCTCGGGGCCCTCCGGGAACCACCTCGAATGCTCTGTCCGTGGCGGGGGGTCTCCCGTGGAGAATCTGGCCCCGATTCCCCGCGGGAGACCACCCGTCGCGGACGGAGGCTTCGGGGCCGTCGGATGACCACCCCAAATGCTCTGTCCGCGGCGGGGGGTCTCCCGTGGAGAATCTGGCCCCGATTCCCCACGGGAGACCATCCGCCGCGGACGGGGGCCTCGGGGCTCTCGGGGAGCCACCCCAAATGCTCTGTCCGCGGCGGGGGGTCTCCCGTGGAGAATCTGGCTCCGATTCCCCACGGGAGACCATCCGCCGCGGGCGGGGGCCTCGCGGTCCTCGGGGACCCAACCCAGATGCTCTGTCCGCGGCGGGGTCTCCCGTGGAGAATCTGGCCCCGATTCCCCACGGGAGAGCATCCGCAGTGGACGGGAGCCTCGGGGCTCTCTGGGAACCACCCCGAATGCTCTGTCCGCGGCGGGGGGTCTCTCGTGGAGAATCTGGCTTCGATTCCCTACTTGCGGCTATTGGACTAGAGGTTGATCAACCGTGGGGTTCCTGAAAGGTTGCTCAGTTGATGGTAAAGTCCATCAACTGTTAGAAGGCCCGCGCCGGAAAACAGACAGGGGCGGTCGTTCCAGTGCATCAACTGTTTTGCTGCGCTTTTCTGCTTTTCAGGTGGGGTTGCCCTCCCGTCGGCTCTCTGGCATCCTTGTTCTCCTCAACCCGTGATCTCCATCAACTGATCCGCTTCCTGGGCTCTCTCTCTCTCTCTGGGCTCTCTCTGGGCTCTCTCTGGTCTCTCTCTGGGCTCTCTCTGGGCTCTCTCTGGGCTCTCTCTGGGCTCTCTCTGGGCTCTCTCTGGGCTCTCTCTGGGCTCTCTCTGGGCTCTCTCTGGGCTCTCTCTGGGCTCTCTCTGGGCTCTCTCTGGGCTCTCTCTGGGCTCTCTCTGGGCTCTCTCTGGGCTCTCTCTGGGCTCTCTCTGGGCTCTCTCTGGGCTCTCTCTGGGCTCTCTCTGGGCTCTCTCTGGGCTCTCTCTGGGCTCTCTCTGGGCTCTCTCTGGGCTCTCTCTGGGGGCTCTCTCTGGGCTCTCTCTGGGCTCTCTCTGGGCTCTCTCTGGGCTCTCTCTGGGCTCTCTCTGGGCTCTCTCTGGGCTCTCTCTGGGCTCTCTCTGGGCTCTCTCTGGGCTCTCTCTGGGCTCTCTCTGGGCTCTCTCTGGGCTCTCTCTGGGCTCTCTCTGGGCTCTCTCTGGGCTCTCTCTGGGCTCTCTCTGGGCTCTCTCTGGGCTCTCTCTGGGCTCTCTCTGGGCTCTCTCTGGGCTCTCTCTGGGAGGAGGAGGAGGAGGAGGAGGAGGAGGAGGAGAAGAAGGAGAAGGAGGAGGAGAAGGAGGAGGAGAAGGAGAAGGAGGAGGAGGAGGAGGAGAAGGATGGAGGTCCATCAACTGGCTGCTGCGCCGCCTCGGCCTACACGAACGGCGGAGACCCAGACCCCACGCCCCAGGCCCAGAGCCCAGACCCCATGGCCCAGACCCCCAGGCCCAGACCCCAAACCCCAGGGCCTAGGCCTAGGCCTGGAATGTGGGGTCTGGGTCTCCGCCGTTCGTGCAGGCCGAGGGGGCGCAGCAGCCAGTTGATGGACCTCCATCAACTGACTCCTCCTCCTCCCTCCTCCTCCTGCTCCCTCCCCCCTCCCTCCTCCCTACTCCTTCTCCTGCTCCTTCTCCTTCTCCTGCTCCTCCTTCTTCTGCTCCTCCTTCTCCTTCTCCTGCTCCTCCTCCTCCTGCTCCTCCTCCTTCTCCTCCTGCTCCTCCTCCTCCTTCTCCTTCTCCTGCTCCTCCTTCTCCTGCTCCTCCTTCTCCTCCTTCTCCTTCTCCTCCTGCTCCTCCTTCTCCTCCTTCTCCTCCTCCTCCTTCTCCTTCTGCTCCTGCTTCTGCTCCTCCTCCTCCTTCTCCTTCTCCTCCTTCTCCTCCTCCTCCTCCTCGGGTCTGGGCCTGGTCCCGAGAACAACCTCTGAGTTCGTGCGCCCAAGTCCATGAACCTGCCTCTGAATCACCCTGCCCCGAGAACAACCAGGACGCCTTGCGCGCCGATTGCCCTGGGGCGCGGGTTACTGTCAACGCGTTCGTCCGCAGTCCCCACCTCATGGACCCTCCCTGCCTGGTGACTGAGCCCTCACTCCTTACCTCATCGTTGGCTGAGCCGAGGTAAGGCCAGGCTTCGAGCGAGGAGACGCAGCAGCCAGTTGATGGACACAGAGCACATCAACTCGCAGGCACGCCAGTTGATGGACTGGCATGGGATTCACCAACTGGTCCTAGTGCATCAACTGTTTTGCTCCGCTTTTCTGCTGTTCGGGCGGGGTTGCTCTCCCGTCGGCTCTCTGGCATCCTTGTTTTCCTCAACCCGTGATCTCCATCAACTGATCCGCTTCCGCCCCTCCTCCTGCTCCTCCTCCTCCTCCTCCTTCTCCTCCTTCTCCTCCTTCTTCTGCTCCTCCTCTTCCTTCTCCTCCTCCTTCTCCTCCTTCTCCTGCTCCTGCTCCTGCTCCTCCTTCTCCTGCTCCTGCCCCTGCTCCTCCTCCTTCTCCTCCTGCTCCTCCTCCTCCTCCTCCTCCTTCTCCTTCTCCTCCTCCTCGGGTCTGGGCCTGGTCCCTGCTGTGGAGTCCTGAGCTTGCCAGGCTAGTGCGTAGCCTAGCCTCGCGCCTCCTGTGTCCGGAACCCTCCCTCGTGGCTTCCTGGTCCCCCCCAATGGCAACCTCCATTGGGTATTATCCCGTAGAGCCGTCTGGCTTTACAGGAGGGTTTCATGGGGGCGCCACCCCCACTCATTGTCGCCAGGAACTTTTCGCCCAAACCTTGGAGAACCACAGGCCCCCAAAACAAGGACGCCCCTAACAAGCCTGGGTTACCACGGACCCCCCCCTCAAACACAAACTTCAAAACCACGACGACGACGACGACGACGACGACGACGACGACGACGACGACGGACGACGGACGACGGACGACGGACGACGGACGACGGACGACGACGACGACGACGACCACCACCACGGCAACGTTTCCCTGGCGCACAGCGAAACGGCACCAGGGAGTTATACCATTCCGCGGGGTAGGTCCCCGCGCGCCCCGCTCACCTCTGAAGGCGTTTGCGCTGTGCCAGTGCGCAGACATCTGCCGAACGACAAGAGTTGGAACGGACCAGCCAACGTCTGTTCCAAACCCAAGTCGATGGGCAAATCCCCATGCACTGGTAAAGCCCAGACGCCCGACCTCTACCAGCGGAAGACGCTCATCTGCATGCCATTGCAGGAATTCCGCAAGCCGCTCAAGTACACCTTCAAAGGTGTTTGCCACGCGGCAGTTCGTGGACATTTCTCATGGGCTGGATTCGAGGCACACACCCGCGCGCACTTCCACGTTCAGTTCCTCGAGTGCACGGGGTGCGTCCCCGATCCCAAAGTCCATGCGGCTATGCCCACAAACTCCCCTATGGCAGACACCCGACCTTGTCGTGCACCTCCTTGGAGTGGTGCAGCTGCTGGTGGACGGCCTGCTCCTCGACCTTGAACTGCTTCGCCCTCGCCGAGAACTCCTTCGAGAGGATGTTTCGCACGGCCCGCTCCCCCGTACTCCCGAAGGGCACGTTGAGCACCTTGGTCATGAAGGCGTTCTTCTTGGTCCAGTACCCAGGGAACAAGGTGAAGCAGACACCCGCGCCTTGTTAGGAGTCTACATTCCAACGGTGTGTGCAGTCACGCCCAACAACCGAATTGAAAACAGGCTGCCTTTATCATCGGTCACCCGCGTGCATGCGTTCAGTTCCTTGTGCCCGCGAGCGCCGACATCCGCATTCGCACGTTCAGTTCCTCGCGTGCGGAAGCCAGCCTGCTCTCAAGTCAGTTCATGGGCGCGACTCCACGCAGTGTTGCAATGCAAACTCCCCGCCTGGACCGTCCTTCTCGTCCGTGAACGTCCTGTCGAAGCGCGCGTCCGTGCCCAGGCTTGCCATGAGCACTGGGCGGTGGCGCTTCAGGTAATCCTCGTAGAGGTCCTGGTGAGAAGGGAGGGGAGAGGAGGAGAAGGATGGAGAGGGAGGACGGAGGCAGTCCTGAAGCCGCTGGCAGAACAGCTTGCCAACGTCGCCCTTGTTCCCGATGGCAGTATCCTGGGTCCACTTGGTCTTGTTAGACTGAGAGTCCATGAGGATCACGTAGTTCCCCGCAGGCATCTTCGGAGGCAAGCGGGAACCCAGTTCATTAGGGCAAGCCCATAAACTCATGTTCCATATGGAACCCATTTTCCCTTCACACACAATCGCCTTCCGAGAGTTCATGGGCCAGGCCCGAATGAACCAGTTTTCTGCTTGACTGTACCTTGTAGGCGGCAATGTCCCAGTTGACGACCAGCTTTCTCAGGTCGCTGGTCCTCTCGCACGTCCACAGCAGGAGGTAGCCCGCGAGCAGCTGCTGCTTGCGCTTCGCAAGCGCGAGCTTCACGGCCTCTACCTTGTCCTTCTCCACCTTCTTGTTGCCGTGCGTAAGCTTGGCGAGGTCGTACTCGAGCCGCTGAACCTTCTCCTCGTGCAAGCTCACATGCGCGAGCATTGTCTCCAGCGTCGCCTGCGGCTTTTTCACCCAGTACCCGCCCTCTGGCCTCGAGGCATCAGGTACGTAGATGTCGCCCTTGTGCTTCGGTACCGCGAGGTCCTGCGCCGTCTGGCCCGCCTTCGACCTGGCAGTGTCGAACCTCTTCTTGTACACCAGCTTCGCCTGTTCCTCCATGCCTGGGACCACGAAGCAGGCCACCAGGGAGTTCAAGGACTGCTTCACGGTGTCAAGCCACGCCTTAGACACCGCGCTGACCTGGCCTGCCTTGTTGGACAAGGGAGTCTTCCCCAGATGATCGAAGTACTCCTCCAAATTTGTGATCTCCAAGTACTCCTTCACTGTTTTCCTCTGGTCCCCGTGCTTCTCGTCCGTCCACTGCACGAGTTGCATGAAGCGGTTGAAGTACTCCTGTGTCGGCTATCGTAAAGGCAATTCTATCGAGTGGAGCCCATGAACTCCCGAGCTTGGAATCCTTGCGTCCACTCTTGGGTGGCTCAGCCCCCTGTCCCGCAGAGGAGTTCATGGACACTATCCGATGCACTGCCTTTGCAACACCCTCCCCTCGTTAGCAGTGCTCTCGCCGAGCTTGATAGAGCGCAGCTGTCCAAGCTCGCTGTGCCAGGCGCCCGCCATGTACCAAGCTTTCTCCGTGTCCAAGTGGGTGGACTTGCTGCGCTTGGTCCTGTCGGGCGCCTTCCTGCTGGTCGGGTACTTTAACGAGGGCGGCACCAGCGGGTCGTTGATGACGGCGGAGTCCCCGTCTGCCTCCAGGGTCCGCTTGCCCGCCAAGGCCGGCGACTTTCCCTCGGTTTTCTCCCTCTTGTCCTGGCTGCGACCCTGACCAGGGCACAACGAAACAAAGTTCGCCATGCAAAGCCCATCAACTGACTTGCGCACGACGTCTGGCTGTCTTGCCCGCCCCCCCTTTCCGAAGTCAGCTGATGGGCTTTTGCCTGACGAACTGTGTTTCTTTGCGCCCTCAGTCCGTCTTCTTCACCTCCACGTGTGCCGCCACGTGCATGATGACCTGGTTCTTCCCCTCCAGGCTCCCGCGCTTGTTCCTCCACTGCAGCGGGAGCCCCTGGTCCTTTGCCCAGGTTTCGTCCACGAGGTCGTAATGGTTCACGCCGTTGTACCACAGTGGTATCGCCGGCTCGTCCCCATGCGTCTCCGCTCCGTACGTCTGGGTGTACACCGTACCAGTGTTCCAGTTGGCGCAGAAGACGACCACTGGATGTTCGTAGAACTCTGCCAGCTTCATCAGCATGGGGGCGTCGAAGTATTCGCCGTCCTTCCCCATGCGTTCCACGTACGCCTCCCAGTCTTCCCCATTCTCCACAGCCCCGCGAATCTGCAACCCAGCCTCGTCGAACCCCGTCTGCTGCAGCTCCAGCTGGCAGTTCTCGCGGATTATGGCGGCACCATGCGCCTCATGAGCCTTCCAAGGATTTCCCAATCGATCACCAGTTCATGGACTGGTGCTGACGAACCGTGGTGGGCGGTTGGAACATCCCTGCACCTTCTCCTCCTTCGTCCACGGGAGCCCTGTGGACTTCACGTAGCGCATCTTGCGGTACGGGTCCTTCTGCCACTGGTAGATTGCGCGCGCCGCGCAGTTGCCGTCCCCATATACTTTGAAGACCGGCACAGAGGTCTCGATGCGCTTCTGCTCCAAGGCCCCGCCCTTGGTAGGGAGGGAGATGGCACGAGAGTTCATGAACCCCACGTCCATGAACTGACTGTCAACACCCGCTCTGCGAACGGCATTCTCAGCGCCCGTCTTGGTCAGTTTATGAACGTGGGGCTCGCGGACTCCCTGTTCCATGATCCGCCCGTCCTTGATCACCGAGGTCTTCTCATGCTTCTTCAACTTGGTGAGCTCCGGCACAGATGTCTCGATGCGCTTCTGCTCCAAGGCGCCGCCCTTGGTATGGAGGGAGATGAAACGAGAGTTCATGGACCCCACGTTCATGAACTGACTGTCCACACCCGCTCTGCGAGCGGCATTGTCAGCGCCCGCCTTGGTCAGTTTATGGACGTGGGGCTCACGGACTCCCTGTTCCATGATCCGCCCGTCCTTGATCACCGAAGTCTTCTTCTGCTCCGGCGCAGATGTCTCGATGCGCTTCTGCTCCAAGGCCCCGCCCTTGGTATGGAGGGAGATGGAAGGAGAGTTCATGGACCCCACGTCCATGAACTGACTGTCAACACCCGCTCTGCGAACGGCATTTTCAGCGCCCGCCTTGGTCAGTTTATGGACGTGGGGCCCACGGACTCCCTGTTCCATGATCCGCCCGTCCTTGATCACCGAGGTCTTCTTCTGCTTGGTGACCTTCAGCTGGACGCGGGTCGCCTCGGAAGGAATCCGAATTATCGCATATTTCCGTTTGGGAGTTCATGCACACGCGCCCAGGAACTCTTTTCCCAGACTTTTGTCACTGTGCCCCATTCCGCCAAAGGGCCCCAAAGCACGTGCGCACAAACTCGTTACGTGAGCGTTTGCTTTGTCAGAACCCGTCACATCGATGGGCGCCCGCAGGGCATTGTACAGCTGCAAGCGCATAAGCTGCTTGCGTCCGCACTTGCCAGCCATTGCTGATGCCCCGAGAACTCTGCTTAACCACCCTTGCTTGATCCGAATTGCTTTCGGTCGTTCCCCCCATTGCGTCTGCGGCAAATTCGAAGACACGAGCGCTGGACTGCAGCATGCCAGACCAGACCAGACTAATTAATTAGCTCATTAATTAGCTCATTAATTAGCTAATTAATCAATTAATCAATTTTAGCTAATTAATTAGCGAATTAATTAGCTAATTAATTAGCTAATACTGGCATGGGATTAACCAACTGGTCCTCGCCGAACTATTGGATCATGCCTTTTCTCGGCGCCCTCGACAGTTGATGGGCGCTCATCGTTGGCTGAGCCGAGGTAAGGCCAGGCTTCGAGCGAGGAGACGCAGCAGCCAGTTGATGGACACAGAGCACATCAACTCGCAGGCACGCCAGTTGATGGACTGGCATGGGATTAACCAACTGGTCCGGCGCCCTCGACAGTTGATGGGCGCTCATCGTTGGCTGGGCCGAGGTAAGGTCAGGCTTCGAGCGAGGAGACGCAGCACCCAGTTGATGGACACAGAGCACATCAACTCGCAGGCACGCCAGTTGATGGACTGGCATCAGATTAACCAACTGGCACCCAGTTGATGGACACAGAGCACATCAACTCGCAGGCACGCCAGTTGATGGACTGGCATCAGATTAACCAACTGGTCCTCGCCGAACTATTGGATCATGCCTTTTTTCGGCGCCCTCGACAGTTGATGGGCATGGAAGCAGACAAATTAGTCAGTCGAAACTCACAAAAAACCGTGCGTATTGACCGCGCGGCTGCTCTGAACACATTTGCTTTTCTTTCCGGGTCAATCCAGTCGACGCGTGAAAACTCCATCAACTGCAACAAGGCGGCGCCGCCGCCCAGTTGATGGAGGGAGAATTTCCTTTTCTTTATATATAAACAGTTGGTGCACCGCAACTGCAAAAAAATACGGGAGTTGATCCGTCACGGACGGAGGCCTCGGGGCCGTCGGGGAGCCACCCCAAATGCTCTGTCCGTGGCGGGGGGTCTTCCGTGGAGAATCTGGCCCCGACTTCCCACGGGAGACCATCCGCCGCGGACGAGGGCCTCGGGGCTCTCGGGGAGCCACCCCAAATGCTCCGTCCGCGGCGGGGGGTCTCCCGTGGAGAATCTGGCCCCCGATTCCCATTCGCCGCGGGCGGGTGCCTCGCGGCCCTCGGGGAGTCACCCCAGATGCTCTGTCCGCGGCGGGGTGTCTCCCGTAGAGAATCTGGCTCCGATTCCCTACGGGAGACCATCCGTCGCAGACGGGAGCCCTCGCGGTCCACGGGGAGCCACCCCAAATGCTCTGTCCGCGGCGGGGGGTCTCCCGTGGAGAATCTGGCCCCGACTCCCCACGGGAGACCATCCGCCGCGGACGGAGGCCTCGGAGCTCTCGGGGAGCCACCCCAAATGCTCTGTCCGCGGCAGGGGGTCTCCCGTGGAGAATCTAGCCCCGATCCCCCACGGGAGACCATCCGCCGCGGACGCGGCGTTTACTGCCGCCCCCCCCCGGCGGCGCCCCCGGGGCCCGACACCATGCCAAACGGAACCTCCCGGGGCGGGTCTAGGGGGCCCGACACCATGCCAAACGGGACCTCCCGGGACCAAGTTTTCGGGGCGTGACCCGTGACACCATGCCAAACGGGATCTCCGGGGGTGGCGCCCCCTGGGTTCGACACCATGCAAAACGGGACCTCCCGAGAGAAGGGCCCGACACCATGCCAAACGGGACCTCCCGGGACCAGGTTTTCGGGGCGTAACACCATGCCAAGCGGGACCTCCTGGGGCGGGTTTTCGGGTGCCCGACACCATGCCAAGCGGGACCTCCCAGGACCACGTTTTCGGGGCGCGGCACCATGCCAAACGGGACCTCCGGGGGAGGCGCTCATGATGGGCCCGAGACCACGCCGAACGGCACCTCCGGCGAGAAGCGCCCATGTGCCCGAACGAGACCCTGCCGCCGCGGACGGAGCCCTCGGGGCCTTCGGGGAGCCCCCCATCGAGCCCTGTCGGCGGCGGGGTGTCTCCCGTGGAGAATCCGGCCCCGATCCCCCACGGGGGACCATCCGTCGCGGTCGGGGCCGCCAGGGAGCCCCCCCACGGACCCTGTCCGCGGCGGGGTGTCTCCCGTGGAGAATCCGGCCCCGATTCCCCACAGGAGACCATCCGCCGCGGACGCGGCTCTCGGGGGGGGGCCCCAACGGGCCTTGTCCGCAGCGGGGCGTCTCCCGTCGAGAATCCAGCCCCGATTCCGCACGAGAGATCATCGGCCGCGGACGGTGGCCTCGGGGGGCTCCCCAACAAGCCCTGTCCGCGGCGGGGTGTCTCCCGTGGAGAATCCGGCCCAGATTCCCCACGGGAGACCATCCGCCGCGGACGGGGCTCTCGGGGAACCCCCCAACGGGCCCTGTCCGCGGCGGAGGCTCTCCCGTGGAGAATCCGGCCCCGATCCCCCACGGGAGACCCATCCGACGTGGACGGAGCTCTCGGAGAGCCCCCCGACGGACCCTGTCCGCGGCGGGGGGTCTCCCGTGGAGAATCTGGCCTCGATTTCCCGCGGGAGACCATCCGCCGCGGACGGGGCCCTCGGAGAGCCCTCCAACGGGCCGCGTCCGCGGTGGGGTGTCTCCCGTGGAGAATCTAGCCCCGATCCCCCACGGGAGACTATCCGCCGTGGACGGGGCGTCTCCCGTGGAGAATCTGGCTCCGATTCCCCACGGGAGACCATCCGCCGCGGACAGAGGCTTCGGGGCCGTCGGGGGTGCACCCAAAATGCTCTGTCCGCGGCGGG